TTTATATTTATAGATTATCATTTAATCTGATATTTAATCAAAATTGTTTTTTATTCTTATTGTTTTAAATTATTCGTTTATTCATTACAAGATTAGTTAAAGTAATCGAAGATTAAATAAATGTATACTAAATGAAAGATGTGTATTCAAAGTAAATGCTTTTTTTTTTCTTTCTCTTTTTTTCTTTTTGTGACAATCATAACATTCAAAAAAATCACATGAAAATAAAATTTAACAAAACTTTCTTTATTTTTTTAAATTAATCTAAATTTAAATTTTTTTTAAAAATAATTTTTAGGTATTAATATATGTATGACTCATTTTAAATTTTACTTGTTTTTGCCAAATTATTTTCAATCGTTAAACAAACTACTTGAAATGTTATGGTTATTAAGTTATAAAAAAAAAACCTTATAAAAGGCAAAATCTAAAACCCTCTGCAAAAAATTAATTAAATATAATTTATGTATAATTTATATTAGGTGGTGCATAATTTAATAAGTCATAAAAGAAAAAAAGGGTAACATGTTTTAATATTTTATAAATTTCGGAAAAGTTTATCTTTCTTCATATTAAATTAACTTATTTTTTTTTCACTAGCTGACAATAAGGGTTTTATTGTGACTTTTATTTTGGTATTTAATTAATTTCTATTAAAGCAACTTATGTTTTTTTTTTTTGTGTTTTACACCAGCTCAAATATTAAAAATATGAATAAATTAATGTACAAACTACACTTTTATCATGAAAATGAAATAATTTATTCGACTGTTATAATCAGTGAAAAAATTATATCATTTATTTTTTTTTAGTGATTTAAAGAAGCAGGTAAAGTCATTAATTTTTATCATTTTTAACAATATCATTATGCTTTATAAATATTAAAAACAGTTTATACGGAACTATTATCGTAAATGAGTACCATAAACAATTCAATCACTATCATAAAAATTTTTTTCTTTTCAATCTTTTTTTTTACCATTAAAAAAAAAAAAAAAAAAAAATATAAAATTCTGCTCTGTGATGTATTTTTTTTTTCTCTCACTCGAAAATAATTTCACATTATTTTTTAAAAATATTTTTTATTTATAATAAGAATTATAAAAATTGAAAAAAATATCAAAAGAATGAGGTTTTAATGTGGCAAAGAAAGATGATGATCACATTTTAAGGAAATTGTTATTATTGGCATCCAGGAAAATTCCATAATATTATTTTCTTTTTGATGGATTTTTTGGGAAAACCTTACAAATTAACTTAAAACCCATTAAAATTTACCAGTCATAGCATAACTTTGTAGCTTTATCAAAAGAAAAAAATACATGATTAAATCAGTTTAGTATCATAGCATAAAAGGGATTACACTCCCCATAAATTAATTGGTTCCAAAATAAATTTGGGATTATACACAGGACTTTATTATTTCTTATTTTTAGTCACATGGGTCGTGAATACATTGTTTACTTAATTTTTGAATAATAAAAATCGCCACAAATTTTTTAAAACAATTTTCCGGTTTTTTTATTTTCAGATGTAAATATTACATATACCATTATCCATGGGTACCTGCATATCAAGGAGTTATAACTTTTTTCGTGTTGGCAAATTTTACATTAGCCACATTTTTAGACCCGGGTATTATACCCAAAGCTCCTCCCGATGAGGACAGAGAAGATGATTTTCGAACTCCCCTGTACAAGAATGCAGAAATCAATGGGATAAACGTTCGTATGAAATGGTGAGTCATTTACCATTTAATTTTTTTAATTACTATATTATACTATTTTAAAAAAAAAAAACTTCCTTTTTTTTTTTTTTTTTTTTTTTTATACGTCACAAGCATTGTGTACATCCTTTTAAGGTATTCCTGCCCTAAAAAAAAAAAAAAAATTATTAGGATTTAAAATATTTCTTTATTATTATTATTATTATTAACTCTTTTTTTCTTATTTTTACTTTTTAGGTGTACGACCTGTAAATTTTATCGGCCTCCAAGATGTTCTCATTGTAGTGTTTGCAATCATTGTATCGAGACATTTGATCATCATTGTCCTTGGGTGAACAATTGCATAGGAAGGCGAAATTATCGTTATTTTTTCGCCTTTTTGCTTACTCTGAGTGCTCACATGATAAGCATATTCACACTATGTTTGATATTTATACTTTTGCACCAAGACAAAGTTTCTCAAGCAGAGACAATTGTTTCGTATCCTTTTCATGTGATGAAACTTATAACTTTAACAAAAACATTTTTTTTTTTTTTTTTTTTTACAAAACGATCTGTTACAAATGAAGTTTTTTCTTAACTTTTGACTTAACAGAATAGTAATTATAAGTATAATTTTAATACTTTTTATTCCAATTATCGGATTGACGGGATTTCACACCGTTCTCGTTGCTCGAGGCAGAACAACCAACGAACAAGTAACTGGAAAATTCAAAGGAGGTTACAATCCTTTTTCCCGCGGATGTTCGAAAAATTGTACATACAGTTTATGCGGTCCGCAGTACCCGAGGTAACAAATATTAGGACACATTAAAGGACTCGTTAATTATTTAATTTGTTATAAATTAAATATATATATATTTTTTTTTATAATTTTCAGCCTTACCAAAGCAACTCAAAAAGTATCAAAAAAAAAATACGAGAGCAGTATGACAGAGAATCAAGTTAAAATTTATACAGATCCCGGAAACGGAATTGGAACTCCCTCGCATAACAATTATAACAAGGTTAATTTTACATTTTTTTATTTGTGTAAAAAACGAACGCACGTCTCTGAAGAAAAACTTGTTTTCAAAGTCAAAGTTAAACAAATTTATTTTCTGAAAATATTTATAAACTTTGAACTCCGTTTAATTTTCACTTTTTTTTTTAATTTTTTTTTTTTTTTTTTTTTTTCAATAGTAAAATAGATTTAAAATTAAATATTGTTTAAATGAACTTAGAGATTGTTTTCATAAATTTTTTTTTTGTTTCTCAAGGAAAAAATAAAGATGGCTGAACAGTAGTTGATAATTATACCTGAAAATTATGGAACCGAAGTTTGGGGGAAAATTAGAAAAAAAAAAAAAAAAAAAATTCCTTTTCTCAGATTGAAATAAAATATCCAGCACGTAATTAATTCACAATTATTTTATTAGTTATTAGATAAAAAATTGTTAATTATTTAAATATATATTTTTTATATATTAAAAGTATTTATTACATACATATATATATATATATATATATTTTTTTAGGGTAAAATAAATTAGAATAAGTTATTGTAGTACTTAAACGCCCTTAAGAGTCCCAAAATTCCCGTAGAGACAAAATAAATAAATATAAATTTTTTATTTTAATATTAACTGCATTATTTTCAGATAAAAGATTTAAAATAAAATTTTATTAATGGTTTAAATGTATATAATTTCCTTTGAAATTTTAGCTTTCGCCGGGAAGAGATGCTTCTGATACGGATATGGAACCGACGGCATCTCAGTCTCAAGATTGTGAACCAACTCCACCACTTCAAAGACCGAGTTCCAAAAATAATTTATATCTTCCACCAATGGACACGGAGTCTCCACGGTACCCATCTATCGTTCGAGGACCACCTCAAAGGGGTAGTCCTCATCCTAGAACATCGAGGAGTCACACTCCTGATCTTTTGTCTCCCGATTCAAGAAATATACCCACGCAACAAAGAGTCAAAGCGGTGGGCATTCCGACTCCATTGGTTATGTCGAGTCCCATACGAAGGTGAGTTTTTTTTTTTTTTAATTATTTGCACACATTTTTTTTTTTTTTTTTTTTACTTTGTATTGAATCAAATAAAATTGGTTTCCGGTCCTTAAAATTTTACGTAATTATTTAGATATTTTCGTTCAGGTTTTTTAATTTTTCGTAGATCAAATCCTGGCACACCCACACAACCTCGACGACCTGATTTTATAAGTGTCAACAATTCAACTCCGCGTGCTTATTACGAACCTCCCCCAGCTCAGATTTACCCTAGTCCACAAAGACGATTTTTATCCGAAGGAGAGTTAGTAAGGCAGGCACCTGGAGATTTAGCTTGCTCACGTACAAACAACACGGTGGACAACATAAGAGAACTTGCCGGATCTCCTCAACGTGGTGTTTATATGTGGAAAGACAATTCTCCCGGAGCGCACACTCAACCCCATTCTAATAAACCGCTTTGTGAATATTATAGATCCAATCCAACTAGTCCTAATCAACAAATACAATATGTTCCAAGGCCCCCCCCTCCTTTGTATCCGCACAATCCTCCACGCGGGGGTGTTCTCGTCTTCCCTCCTCCTCAGTCTCCGCAAGTGAAGAGAAAAAATTATACCATGCCGACAACTCCGACTGGCGATCAAAGGCGACGTCCCATGTCTTTCGTTCGGGCTTTGGAAATGTCAGATTCAATGGAAATGTCAGGGTTGCCCAAGGCTCAAACCGAGAGTCGGGGACCCATTGTACGAGGCAATACTCCACCCGACAGATTTTTTGTGTACGACATGAATTATGAAATATCCGTATAGGGTAGGCTTGGCAGCAGGCTGAGGGCCCGACCCGGCCTCAGCCTAGCGCCTTTCAAGATCTCAGATGCCCTCTCAATAATTTAAGTCGATATAAATATATATATATAAATGTCTTTAAAAATTTAACAAAAAAAATTTTTAGCTATTATATATGTTATAATGTGTTGCGGGGTGATTTTTATTATGATCGATCGGGTTTTATACTGATAATGAAATGATAAAACGAAAATTATCAGTACGTAGTATAAAAATTTAAATGTTTACAAACATAAAAAAAAGGAAAAAAAAAGAAAAAAAAAAAAAATTGAGTGTTTTTAAACGAATTTTCACTTCTAACCATGTCAGTTAATCACATTAGAAAACTGTACTACTATCATATGATAAAAATAAATTTTTTTTTTTTTTTTTTTATAAATATGCCTTTAATTTTAATTGTGATTATTATTATTATTATTATCAATTACAATCGTTTTAATTTGAAAGTTTTTCTCCGCTAAAATAATATAATAATAATAATAATGAAAACTTAATGTTTCTTTTTAAAAAAAAAAATTGTATTTATATTTTTTGTAATTGAGTATAATATAAATACGGGCCAATAAAAATGAAAAAAAAAAATGGAAAAAAAAAAAACTTTAATAATTTTTAGATGAATCTTACCTGTAAATTTAATTAAAGTTGTATTTGTGAGTGACCCGTAGGTTTAGAATTAATTTAAATAAATAATAAATAATAATAATGAAAACTTTAATTATTTAAAAAAAAAATATATATATATATATATATAATTAAAAAAAATTAAGTTAAAATAACTTGATATTTTTGTATAATAGGTTTTTATTATATAGTAAATACTTTATACAATTTTTTTTTTATTTTGTTTTTATTAACTTATAATTATTATTTAGGTTTTATTTTTTATATATATTATAAAAGAAAACAATTTTTTTTTTTTTTATTATTATTTGGCCATTCATTTATGGTTAAAAACGAGGTTGAAAACTGAGTACAAAATAAATAATAATAAGCGATCTGAATGTTAATAATAATAATAATAAAATCATATTAATTGAAAGAAAAAATGGCTGCCATAAACATATGAAAAAAGAAAAAGAAAAATTTTTATTTTCTTTTGTTTATCTATTCATTTATTATTAATAATAATAATAATAATAATTAAAAAATTGTATTGCACTAAATGTTTAATTACAAGACAAAAAAATAGAATCGCTCTTACTATTTTTTTTAATGCTTAAGTTAGTCCTCTATAATTTTTTTTTTTTTTTTTTAATATTTTTTATTTTAAATAGTAAAGTACGAAGCAATCGATCACTCTTGTAAAATAAATAAATAAATAATTTTATAAGAAAAAAAAAAACGAATTTAATATATATATATATATATATATATATATATATAAATAATGGAATTATTAAAAATTAACCATTCCAAAAAAAAAAAAAAAAAAATTTATTCACAAAAGAAAGATAACTTAAATAAATAGTTGTAACTTGTCCATATTTATATAATAAAACTTTTTTTTTTTTTTTTTAAATTTTTTTTTTTCCGTTGTTAATGTTCTAAATTTTTATAAAACTTCTAACACAAAATATAAATCGATTACTGATGTGTAATTAACGACGATATTATTTTTAAATTTTTACCTCACACAATTTAGTTTTTTTTTTTTAAATTATTGCAGATAAAAAACTGATAAAAAAGTGAAATAAAAATGTCTATAAAAATTTTTATATAATCGTAATTGAGGTTATTTAAAAGTTATAGGAAAATTCAATTAATTGTAGAGAAAAATAACAACAATATGGGTAAAAATTACATCATTCTTTATTTTATGTGTTTCATATTATGTATTTTTTGTTATTTTTCCTATTTTACTTTTAATCGTGCTCTCTTTAAAAATATTAAACGCGGAAATATATTTATTAATTTTTAGGGAAATCAAAATAATTTCTCTCTTTTCGATAAATATTCTTTTAAATTATACAAAATTCATACAACATTCATATATTTATGACAACGTACTCCATATTTGTTTTTTTTTTTTTTTTAAACGTATCATTAAATAAACATCAATGTAAAGTTTTTGAAAGTGTTAACGGTTTTTAATGTTGGCAGTACTTGGTGAAAGCGGTAAAACTAACGATTTTTCATTTTAAGGCGGTGTACAAAATTAAATGTTAGTAATTATGTTTATAATTTATTTTTCGAGTAAATTTTAAAACCTACATTTATAAATTTAAAAAAAAAAAATTACTTAATTACGATTATTTTTATTTAAACTAATCCGAATCAGTGATAAACTAATCAGAACTCGAAAAAATTATTATTATAAAAAGATTGATTTAAAATGACGTGTAAATAGATATAAATTTTTTTAATGTTTAACTTACTTACTTTTACGCATTCGTGTAACTGAGAGATGCGCCCTTTGTAAATTTTTTTTTTTTTTTTAGACAGTTAAAATATGGTTTTGAGCACTTATTATTCTCTAATTAATTTATTAAAAAAATATCATTTAGTTTATATTTAATATTTGTTTGTGTTTAATCATCAGAAAAATTATCAATATTGTAATTAATATGCAAATCCATATAAAAATGTTGTTTGGTGAAAATTTTTTAAAATTGACTCAAAGACATGATAAAAAATGTTAAAATTTTGGATTGTGGAATTAAATGAGTTATTGTTGAAATTAATTAATTAATTTATGTTGTTAAAACCATATCAAATTACTTTTTACAATTTCTATAATAACAGGTATACAAAACTTATTTTACAATAACATATTCAAATATGTGATTTACTAACTAAAACTTATATTTCAGGTTTTGATTGATTAATGATTTTTTTTTTTTATTCAATAATAAATAAATTTGATACCTTAAATGATTTTTTTAAATGAAAAAAAAAAAAAAAATTGAACAATATTTAAATAACTATATAAAGAAATTTAAAACAAATAAATGAAATATACTAAAAGATTTACATTAAAAAAAAGTTTGTTTGATTTTTTGTTGTTGTTGTTGTTGTTGGTTGTCTAATTACAGTTTGAATGTTTTTAATGAAAATTTATATTTTTGTTTTTAAAATAATTGAAAAAATAATTGTATAATTTAATAATTTTATTTTGTTTGATTTCAGTTATGAGAAAATAAGAAAATAG